GGGGGGGGGGGGCAGGGTGGAGAATTATAAAGTGGGGGCTGTTACCAAAAAAGCCTTATTCATGCTATTTGAGCAAAGCACTGCCTGAGATAACACAATACCCCACTGTGTGTGTAGACCTAAAGATATAACCTGAGCACTCTGAACTGACCTCGGGAGCCTATTGCTAACCAGTGCAGCCCGTTTAAACTGATGTTCCCCTATGCTGTATCATATCCTCCCAGCTGCCCAGGTGCAGCTTGGATGTTGCATCCAGAGACAGTTCCATGCAGAAAAAAAAGGTTATAGAGCGGTCCAAAAGAGACATTGTTAGGATTAGAGAACATTCATTGAGTGCATATTATGATTAGGTAACAGCATGATAGTTTTCTATTATTAATGCATCCTACAACATTAAAATTCAACACAATACCTTTATAATCAATGGTAGGCTTATAGGCTTGAAGGATTTTTGGCAGTGCAATTCCCATGTCCAATTCCGTTAGTGTTAATTCATTCATGAAGTATGGCAACTAGAAGGAGGAAAAAAAGTGGAATAAAACAGTGCTTTCTCTCTTTTCCCAACATTCATGGTGTTTGAATGATTGACAATACCTGGGACGGCCCAATACTTCCAGGGTCATGTTAAGATCCCGGGAGGCCCCTGAAAACAATAATCTGGTTTATTGAAGTATTACCTGGACCTTTATCAATAAATCACAATAAGTATATGCAAGTGGTAGCAATGTTTTAAGTGTATTTCATTTTGATGTATGAACTTTTTGTTCTTATTATTCTATTTTTTGAAACTTAAAACATTTTCATAGACCCCTTTCACCCTGCAAAGTTTTGTGGGCCATAGGAGTTATGCCTACAGGTAGTCCTCAACTTATGATCACAGCTGACCCTGGAATTTTGGTTGTAAGTTGAGTCACCATGTGAACGGATTTGATTTTACAAGTGTTTTTACAATGGTTGTTAAATGAGTTGTTAAGCAAATCAAGTCATAAGTTTGAATCCAGCTTACCTAGTAGAATAAGGGGTTTTTTTGCCAGAAAACTGCAAAAATCATTGCAAAATGTGATCATATGGCAGTGGGGTGGTGCAACTGGTTGTAAATGTGAACTGATTGCTAAGGGCCTGAAATGTGACTAAGTGACACATTAGGGGTAGTATGGAAGTGGTAATTTTGAGATAAATACCTTTTTTTAAGTCCATTGAACAATCATGAAGTGAGTGGTTGTAAGCTGTGGACTACCTGCATTGTGACCAAGGACAGAAGGATTTCTCTACTCCTGTCACTGGGCAGGGTCCTCCACAAGGCCCTGGCCCCAAGCAGACCAGAAGCCTGGAGATATGTGCCCATGTGAACTAGCATTTTGCAAAATGCCCGTCAGACAATATGTGGGCTCTTAAACACAATCTTCTGAAAAGTTGGTACAACTTTTCCTAAACAATGTTCATTGGTCTTTTAAAAAATTGATAGACCTGTCTGACCAAAGTAAGAAAAAAAGGTTCCCGCTGGTGTGTGTGTGTGTGTGTGTGTGTGTGTGTGTGAGAGAGAGAGGGGGGGGGCGTGGCGACAAATCTTGCAATTTTCTGGGCAATGTTTTTGGAATGGTTTGCCACTGCTTTCTTCCTAGGGCTGAAAGAGAGTGATTAGTCCATGGTCACCCAGTTGGCTTTCTGCATAAGGCAGGACTAGAGCTCATGATCTCCTGGTTTCTAGCCTGATGCCTTAACTGCTACACCAAACTGGCTCTTTTGTCCCAAATGAGAGCAGTGCAGGTTTTCTGTTCCTTCTACCAACACGTGATTTTCGCTGCTTTCTACTGTTTTTAATTTCTTGAGAGGAGGTATGTTATTTTGCCTACTCCAATATTGTTCTACATGTTCCACAGAATACCTTTGGGTTCTGCCAGCTGCAGCTACTTGCTACTAACAAGCACATGCAGCACATATGAATCTGGACATGTCAAAGCTGGAGTGAAATTAATAAGAGTTTCCTTTCTAACCCAAGTGACAGAAAGACCATAAATCTGTTTCTAAAAATAGCCTGGCTGACAGACAGTCCCAATGTGACATGAAAAGCTCCTTCCGCTTCACCCTGCATATCTTCTCCACTCCATCAATCTGTCAGTTGGTCTATTTCTCAGCACAAATCTACCGGTCTTCTAAATCACCAGTAGCACTGTGTTCAGAAATATCCTGAGTGACAGATTACCAGCGTGGAGCATCCCTATGCCAATGAGAAGTCGCCAGGGAAACCTGAAAAGCGGCTAAATCATCTGCATCAAGCACTCACTCAGATACCAAAGCCCATTACTACTCCATTTTAAGGAAAGCAATCAGTCCTGCCAGCTAGTGATGGGGAAGGGGAGCAAACTCAGGAATATCACTAATTGCTTTCCTTCCATTGTCTTTCTTGTACAAGTAGTCCTCAAGTTACAACCCCAATTGGGACCAGAATGTCCATTGCTAAGGAAGGTGGATGGTTGTACCAATAGCACTTGCTTTACAGCACTTTCGAGGCAGTTTACAAAGACAGCATATTGCCCCCAACAATCTGATTCCTCATTTTACTGATCTCAGTGCTGTGTTCAGAAACATCTTGAGTGACAGATTACCAGCATGGAGCTTCAGAAGGACGAAAGGCTTCAGCTGCTCAGGATTGAACTCCTGGCAGTGAGAAGAGTCAGTCAGTCTGCAACACGACATTCTATCTAACCACTGTGCCACCACAGCTTCTGTTAAGTAAGTCATACCCAATCTTATGCCCTTTTTTAAAAGGGAATTGCTGCAGTTATTAAGCAAATTTGGCTTTCCCCATTTTGATGGTTGGAGGCCGACTGGGAACATTGCAAATGGCAAACACATGACTCCATGTATGCAACCATTATAAATATATGCTGGTTGGCAAGCATCGGGATTTTGATCATGTGAATGTTGGGATTCTGTAACAGTCGTAAATGTGAGGACCACTTTTTTTTGTTTCAGTGCTATACAACAGCGGTCACCAACTGGTGGTTTGCAGAAATTTTTTTTTGCATTTTTTATATTGCACAAAATCAGGGATCCTCAAACTATGGCCCTTGGGCCAGACACATGCAATGAACATTTGTGTTGTTGCAGAGACTCTCCCCTTTCAGAGTCTTTCTGTGCACATTGGAGGGGGGCAGAAATTCTGACTTTGGAGTCTGCTTTGGCCTCCTGAAGGATGAAGGGAAGTGACATTGGTGGCGAAGAGCCGGAGGGCCTCATTCCAGTGGGACTGCATCATGGCCTGGAACTGGCTGACCATTTCAGCTCGCTGAGCCTCCAAGCGCTGGCACCTGGCCTTTCACTCCCTCAGGCCTTTCCTCTGCTTGGAAAGCCTTGCTCCTAGTCCTCAGCGAGGTACTTCTGCTAAGCCTCCTTTTCGGTCAGATCCAATCTGAACTGAGCCAGCTGTTTTGGCAACTCTTTCTCATGGTGGCTGCTTAGCTCCAACAACTGCTTCCTGTTGGGGCTCTAAGGAGCCCAGGCAGGGAAGCAAGGAGTGACTGAGAGGGGAGGGGTGAGTAGAGGCAGGCGAGGCATCCCTCAATATGAGTGACATCAAGTTGGCCATGCCCACCCAGTCACATAACCACCTGACCACCTGACTTGTGCCTGACAAACAGCGTCTCATAATCCCAAATGTGTCCATAAATCCAAAATGAGTTGCCTGTCCCTGCACTAAGAAAAAAATTAAGGATCTGTCAAAAGGTCTTGTGGTAGAGAGAGGGAAGGGAGAGTACATTTTACTAGATTAATGTATGACTTTGTAATTATTAAACTAGTTGGCAAAATGTTTATCTTAAAAATCTTTCTTACCCTGATGTTGTCTTAGTGCATTTGGAGGGCATCAGACTGTGGAAGGTTTTCTTAAGAAATGTAGGGATGTCTGTTCTGATTTAGCTGGGGGGAATTCTACTTCTTGTCACTATTGTTTTTCTCCTCACTATTCTGGCACCACTTTCCTAGCTCTTCTGGTGCTCAACTTTAAATCACTACAGTAGCAACACTGAGTATAGCAACAAGATCATTACCAAGATGACATGAATAAGAGAGAGGGTGTGTCAATAATTAATTCAATCGACCTAGTGAACTCCACGCAGATTTCCAATATCAGAACACTGTTATTTCAATAGACATTTGAACAAAATGTTCCTAGCCTTTAGTAGACAGAACAATAAAAGCTTTGGCTGAGCTTGTAAGGCAAGCTTTTGTGTCCAAAACTGTAGGCTTTAATTCACAGATGCATCAACAAGTACCCATATTGGCTGCAGTTGCTTTTTTAAAAGACGCCAAATGGCTATCTCTACTGAAATTTTCTAATGGGAAATTTGTTTTCATGCTAATATGCAATCATTCCTGCAGAACAGCATTAGGAAAACTGATCACTTATGCTGCCAGCTAATTTGGAAGTTAGTCTGCTTGTTTCATTTGTGCAATCAAGACACGTAGAGGAATTAACTGAACGGGGCACAGCTGAATCGCAGCACCACCTTGGGTTATACATTTTCATTTAAAACTCATTTAGGGGAACAGAGAAACAAAAACAGTGCTTGGATCATTTATTATTCAAAAGTCTGCAGACTGGGGACACAAATAGCACCTATCAGAATGTCTGCTTGGCTCCATGATAATTCTGACAATCCTGAAGATTAATGCTTGGTATGGATAAATATTTCACTCATATGAAAATCCTGAACGAACAACCAATTCTTGAATTATCATGTGATGCTTAGAGCTCTCTAAAATAGATGAATATCATCATTGGAATAGACTAGACATCCTAAAACTGTGGCTGGATTGAGAGAAAACAACAGCTGGAGGATGCTGAAAATCCTATATAGGGTCCATCACAGCAAAGAGATGAAATCATTTTTTTCTTGTGGAAAAGAAACAATTACTTTCCAAACTGTACATTTTGCTAAAGAGGAATTATACTAGCTATTACTAAGAAACTTTGCAGGGGATAACAACTGGAGCAGGAAGTAAATGGATCATTCTGAAAACTAAATCATCTTCATAAATTATCTTCCTATCTAAGTGAAAGGTCAGTACACCAAATAGGTTTATTCTGCTGAACTAGACCTGTACATCTGTGAGAATCAGACCATGCAACCTCTCCTAGTTTCTCCACTGCTAGAGACAGACTGATGGACCTGACTGAAGGCAACACAGAAACATTAAGCTGTGCACAACAGGTAAATAGTTGCTGGAAGAATTATTGTTAATAATCTAAAAAAGAGGACAAAACTATGTTCATATTATTAAATAAAACTTATGTTGGGGGTTCTTAAAGGGGGAAAAGTATCAGATCTCCTGGGAGACCTTCTCTATGAAGGTTCATTTAGTACTTTTGAGTCAAGGCCTATTGACTCAATAGGGAGCAGGTCTATTGCATTAGATCTAAGATCTGCAAGGGTTACCATCTTTTCTCTCAAAATGTTTCCGTTGTTGACATTCTGTTTTCTTTCCCCTCCTAAACCTTTTATTACATATCTTTTAGGATGTCTGTCTAGGGCAAGGACTACTATTACTAATTTTTGTAACCTGTTCTAGGAGTTTACTTCAGGTTACAAGTGGAATTAAAAATGGTTCAAACAAAAATAAAATGGTGTTCCCTCAGGAATTAAGAAAGACAAAAGTATAAAACCTCTAGAAGCATTTAATCTTCCAAAAGTGTCCAGAAACCACTAACAGTTATGATAAATATGTCAAGCAATATTATAGTTCAAGAAAAAAACAGACTGGTGTAGTCCCTATACAGCAGGGGTCTCCAACCTTGGCAAGAATTCTGGGAGTTGAAGTCCACAAGTCTTAAAGTTGCCAAGCTTGGAGACCCCTGTTATATGGGTTGCTTGATAGCATCCTGCACTGCCACCAGACTGAAGCTCTGTAAGAGTTTCCTTCAACAATGAAGGGGCGACATGATAGCAGTCTTCCAATATTTGAGGGGCTGCCACAGAGAGGAGGGGGTCAAGCTATCTTCTAAAGCACCTGTAGGCCAGACAAGGAATAATGAATGGAAACTGAACAAAGAGAGATTTAACCTGGAAATAAGGAGAAACTTTCTGACAGTGGACAATCAACCAATGGAACAGCTTGCCCTCAGAAGTTGTGGGAGCGTCATCACTTGAGACTTTCAAGAAGAGATTGGACTTCCATTTGTCAAAAATGGTGTAAGGTCTCCCGCTTGGGCGGGGGGTTGGACTAGATGACCTACAAGGTCCCTTCGAACTCTGATTATCTGTTATCTGTTATCAATGGGCTACCTAAACAGATGGTAGATACTTAAAAAAATATTCCTACCTTTATTTTGCTGAGCTTCATTTGTATTTTCTTTGACACCAAGTTAGACCAATATTTCTCTCCCAAGAAATCCCAAAAGATTCTTCCCAGCAGAGCATTGACCCAGGCTTCCTGTTCCTCATCTTCACTATGGGAGGAGGTTAGCAACTGGTGAGAGAGAAAAAAACGCTCACTTTTGGTAAGTCACACAATGCTACTAGTGAACAGTTAATTTTAACATGTTTATTGAAATAATTGTTTTTTGTACATAACAGCAAGTTAAAAATATTTCACACGAATAAGTCTAATATATTGTCCAAGGCTGATGCTTCATTATGTAAATCACCAGTGTAGGAGGAATAGGACTGGAAACTAAACGGGCTGAAGAACTGGGGTCCCAGAAACAGAAGCCAAGCAGAGCCCTGCCTCAATTCAGCTCATGAAGACTTTGAAACTGATCTAAAATCAATCATCCAGTCTCTTCTGCTGCCTTTGGCAGTCAGAGATGAGTAGCATCAGCTGTGTTTCATTAAAAGCTGGCATTCTTTCCCCACATAAACATTTATATGCAACAGCAATCAGAAGTTGGAAAAATGTTTTGATCTTATGCACTTTCATGTCTGGTTTCGAAGCTTCTTCCACAGAACCTTCCTTTGACAGGATCTGAGGATGTTTTCTGCTTTGTGCAACGATTACAGTAGCTTTTAGTAAGGAACCTTGTGCCTCCTTAGTCTCGGATCAGACTGGGAGTGAGTCTTTTCTCAGTGGTTCCACTGTGCTTCTGTTAATGTTGAACTGAAGCTTTTAACAGACTTCCTAAAACTTTTGGGTAACAGCAATATGTCCACATGTGGGACTGAGGGGACATTTTTGCAAAATGCCTGTAGTTAACAAATAGCAGAAGACCATGGCCAGCTACCTGAAAGTTAGGGGAAAGATCTATGCATTCCCCATTATCTCTAACTTCCCAGTTGCTGATAAGGGGAAAGGCAGTTTCCAACTGCACCTTATCAACAAAAATACAACTCAAGATGCCTGGGTAGCCTTGGGTCTTACTAATGGGACTACTAAATTTGGAACATGGCATGGGGCTATGGTTACTATCAAAGGGCAACATTGGTGGTAGCAAACCTTAAAACATAGGTCAAAATGACTGAAGAAATCCAACATGGGTGTCTTATTAAAATAGCAAAATTACAGCAATCAGTGGGCTCCCAACTAGCAGAAGCTAGCACAGATGCAGATCAGAGAAAATCTTCAGGTTTGCAAAGAATGGAAAGGGCGTAAACACGGTCTCCTCACAGGAATACTTTACAATGGTATATAATTTACAAAGAAATTCGACAGGGTTGCCCAAGGCTGTCCCCTTATCTGATAAGAACATTTTGTATTGCCATGCCACTTAGCTTAACAATAACGCAAATGCCATAATAATTGACATTTTTGTTATTTTAAACAGATGACCCTCATTACATCTCAGGGGGAGCATAAAGGTATTCCCTATCTAAATCTTTGAGGAAGTTGCCATTGTAAAGGTATATAATTGTAAATCAAAGCCATTCATCACTTAGGAAGAACATATGCCTGAGGCGGTTGGTTTGAAATGAACAGAAAAAAGCTTCAACAGTTAAATCAATTGTGACTGACCTGTATCCAACAAAGAGAGCGGATAGAAAAAAGGCAGAGATCCAGCTAATACAAGTTATTGAACTAATACAAATTTATGCATTGACGTATTTATGCAGATTGAAGTATAAAGAATAGACCTCTCAATGTTGTTTCCAGATAGCAAATAGGGCCTGTTGTGGTTATTGTTTGGGGAAGTTGCTCATGCCAGAGTCTTGTTTGTGTGAGATTAAATATGTGGGTCTCTGGATGTTAATTTAAATTTAAGTGCAACTATGAATCAGAAGCAGGTGCAATTCTTGCTGATTATGTGATTCTATTACTTTAAAAGAAAACCTGAGCATTATATTCTCAGAATCAGAGCTGGATTATGCACAGCAGCCTGAATAAGTCAGCTTGTGTTTCAGACCTAGAAAAGGTGACTATCGATTCACAATGTAGGCAAAACATCCCTAATATACCTTAGGGACTGCTATAACAATAAAGGAAAGGGTAGTTGAATGTTAGTAGGAAGGCAAGATAATATCTATGTGCTACCTTGACACCAGTCTCTCTGCCAACTTTGATAACATGGCTAACATGCTGTTAATAAGTACCAGATTAGTTAGCAGAAAAGTGTTTGCACCCACAATGTCTTCCAAGAAATATATCAATTTTGCTTATTTAACTGGTTGATAGAGGGACTTGCATTAGTCTTTTATGCACACCCTGGTTTTAAGTTTGTGTATCAACTGGAGCTTCCAGGTAGGGGAAAAGGTTTTTTTTAAATCTCTAATGAAGTTATTCATCTGCTCAGGTATCCTGGTCTGCATTTCCATTTTGCTGGGAAAATGAGACAGGATTGAGATTGAGCTGGTGTACCCTCTACCTCACTGCTCAAGAGCTTATCTTACTCAGTGTGGGAAATATGCAAGTGCCAATAGGGGACATTATGCACAAACAAGAAGAGAAAAGGATTGTAAATAAGTCACATTTCATATACAGTATTCAAGACAGTCCCAAGAAAAACAGAAGAGACTGTATGGGGTGTGCAAAGAGTGATCTTCATAAAATTAAATTTGGGTGGGGTAAATCTAATACCTGCAGGAATTTAAAAGTAAACATTTCCACAAAAGACTATTCTACCCTCTGCTTGAGCATATTCAGCAAAAGGGAACTACAGTTTTTCTGGATAATTAGTTACACTGTCAAGCTGCTCTTATTGACAGAACAAGACTTCCCAATATAATAGCTGCCTTCCTGTAATTGAAATCCATTATTCCACCTCCTACACTCTGGAATGAGAAAGAACAGGTCTTTATTATCATGTACTGATCTGATTATACCAGACCTTTATTTTGTACAACTTAAGACAGTGTATGTAATGCTTCCTCCTATTAGCCTCACAACAACTACCTACTGAGGTGGATTATACTGAGTGTGTGTAACTGGCCCAAAGTCACCCAGCTGGTTTTCATGCCTAAGTGAGTGCTAGAACTCCCAGACTCCCACATACTAATCCAGCTTTTTAAACGTTACACAAACTGGCACAAACCATTACACCAATCTTTTGAGCGACATCTTTCAGCTATTTGAAAATTGTAATCATATTTCCCCTTTTCCAAACCTGTCTGCTTTCTCAAGGCTAGGTCTTAGAATCTTTCTTCGTAATTTCTAAATCCCTAGAAATTGTGATTTCTAGGAATATAGATTGTGATTTTCACTGTTCTGCTCTGAATCTGTTTCAGTTTTTCTAATCGTTTTTAAAATGTGGGGCCCGGAAACTGGACATAATACTTAAGTACCGTGACAAAAAAACTGAAATGATTTCTTCCTGTGAATTTAGAACATATTTCTGTTAATCGGCCTAAAAATAACTTGTGTTTTAAATAAATACCTGAGTACACATCTTTTTATAATAACTTAACTCCCAATTGTTATTATTCTGTTTCTATTAAAAAGAACAGTTTGTGCAATATTTTAAATTTTGCTCTCTAACATTGAAGTAGTTTTATTGATGGGTAGTCCTAGAAGTGTAAGAACTAAACAAAATATCTACTGTTGCAGAGATCTTTTAAGCTGCATCAAAATAATGTTAAATGTTGAGAAAGTGAGCATACCATAGAAACGTTATTAGCTCCACACTTCTTTGGAAACAAAAAACAACCCCTGTTCCACTTGAGCTGAGCAGACACTACAAGGTAAATCATCAAGAATATATAAAGAATATACTTCACCTTTTTCACAGCTGTGGGGCTGCTGTCAGCACTGTGAACAGGACTAACCATAGGGCTTGGGTGTTCTGGTGGAATGCACCTTGCCATGTAGACATTATAGTCTAAAAGTATTTTCTGTCTAATGTTGGGACCCAGATCCTTCAGCTTTGGTTGAGGAAGGACTTCTTCTACACTTCCTTTACTGCTGCTGCGGCTGTGTGTAAGAATCCCAGACTGGCTATTGGATCGACTGTGTCCTGGCAAGGAGCCTGAATACAATAAGAAGGAAAAACAAAGGGTAAAGCATCAATACATAATCAACTATGGAACATAAGAATGAAACAGAATGAAAAACAGAAGTTTATGATGCCAATACTCAAGCAAATTACAAGGTTGTCAATATGACAAGGCAGTAAACATACACGATTTAATCTATTCATTATGGAAGTTGACACATTACTATTCCATACCAATCTATTCAAGATTATACTGTATGATGGTTTTGACTTTAATGTAAACCACAGGAAATATCACTTTGTAGCCTTCAGTTGTTGAATTCCCAAAACCACAGCCAACATGGACAATAGTGAAGTATGCTGGGTATTGTACTGTAGTTTAATAACATCTGGAAAACCACGGGTATTCCCCTGCCCTCTGCCATTCTATGGCAAATGGTAAATAAACTATCTGGTCATACATCTTTTTCAGTATCATATATATATATAAAGACAACAATCCTTAATTTAAAACAGGTTTTGGCAATGTTTACAAGAAACTGTCTGAAAATAAATCATAATAAATATAACAGAGAATTTTAGAGGAAAGATGACAGCCGAGGATGTAAAATTCTGCACTAAATCTGATATACTGAACAATTCTAGATTAGAAAAGAACCTGAATGTAAGCAAAGCTAAAAATCAAAGAATCATGAATGTCAGCAAATAAAAACACAAGCATACTCACACCCACTAGCCTCAATTTAAATGTTTAATGATACTGAGTAGATGGAATCACTTTCAATTATCATTCCCACTTCTGTGAAAGGTTTTTCATAAAATGGATTAAGAGGAAACATTTCTCAATACACTTCAGCTTTCCAGAAGCTTGCCATAAGCTTGGCCAAGCGTTTATATATAAACAGTGCAAATATTTTGCATACAGATAACTTGAAGGTTGATTTGGAATAAAAACAAATACTGTGTAAATTGTGTTTGAACAATCTGCATTGTGTTTAATGACATACATTTCAGTTCTTTTAAAAAGAATAAAAACTGAGATATGACTACCCTAAACATCCTCTGTAATTATTCTCTCTCTCTCTCTCTCTCTCTCTCTCTCACACACACACACACACACACACACACACACACTTAAAAACTTGAGAACTTTGGCAGGAAGACTAAAATGTATGTGTATTATTTCTAGAAATATATTGGAGTCTAATATCATTTTAAATTATTGTTCTGCAAGAAAAAAGATCAAAGACAGATTAATTCCATGTTTACTTAAATCAACCACTTATATGAGGCAGGACATTAGAATGTAGTTTTGTTAAAATTTAATGCCTTTAGAAGAAGTTAAATTGTGGTTAGCATTTCTTGATGAACTCACTGAATAACAGAGTTTTTTCTTAATCATACAATAGCAATAACTCTTAAGACTTGTATAGCACCCTATAGCTCTTTATAGTACACTCTGAATAGTTTACAAATGTCAGCATATTGCCCCAACAATATGGGCCCTCATTTTACTAACCTCAGAAAGATGAGTCAACCTTGAGCCCCCTCAGAATCGAACTCCAGGCTGTGGACAGAGTTAGCCAGCAATCCTGATTCTAACCACTGTGCTACCAGGGCTCCAGATTAATCTCAATTAATCCTTAAAAAGCTGATATTTTGACCTTATTACACAAAGTCTCAATAGAATAAGCAAACAGGTACTTACCTGACTTGTTTCCCCAAATGAAGATAGGCTTTTTTTCTTCAGATTTTAATTTGTGGGCGACAAGGAATCTCCTAAACCATTCCTCTTTCTCTCGACCTGTTCTTGCAAATAAATAAAGCACTTGGTTCTTCTGGGTACCAGATTTTGCTCCATCCTGAGAGGGTTTCCAAATTTCTTCACTGCTTAGGTTTTCTTTTTCTATAGAGATTTTTTCTTCTGAGATGTCTTTATCAGTCTGGACTTTGGCCATGAAATTGTCTTGTCTCCCAAGCTCAATGCAGATTGGGTACTTTTTATTCCAGACTCGTTTTCGAGCCAAACTTTTGGGAACCAAATAAATCTGCAAACCAAGTTGTGAGAGAATTTCACATTTCATCTCATTAGAGTAGAGATTACAGAATACTAATGCATTGCCATAATCAAAGAAACAATCAAGTCAAAACAATGTTGGCAAAGCTGCCTGTCCAATATTCAGGAATGATAAAATATAAAATATGGATTAGGATGGAACTGTAATTCTGGAACAAATAATATTTGGGCTTCTTTTGTCTTTTCTTTGACAGGTTGGAAACACTTGGTGTGGGGCAGATCTCTATTAGCACTATACGTCCTTTCCTGCAAAAATCTGGAAAACAAGGCTTAAGGATTATGGTGATCTGAACAGCAGCCATAGCATGTTTATGGGAATGTGCACGCATGTGCACCAAATAATTGCTACCTGTAATTTCATCAGCAGTCATGAAGCATGCAATTTTTCAAATCAACTGAACTATCCAATGTTTATTTTAAACCATTTTATTCTGGTTATACAAACAATTTAAAGATCATTGCAGACAGGGCCACAGAGGATTTCAGATGTTAGTAGAAACTTCACTCATTCTTTGATGGGATTAGCATGGTAAACTGACAACCTGTCAAACCTAGATAATATCAGAAGACATGGCATTGGCATTAAAAACAGTACCAATAACTCTGGGAATTAGACAAAAGGGTTTTTGTCTAATGAGTGTTGCTCAATAGGATGATTTCCTCCTATCCACCATTCCTCCCTTCCCCTCCCCTTTAGTGTGAAGAGACAGGGATACCAGCAGCAAGAAGATGTTATTCTGAGAATTCCTAGCTAAAGGACAAATGATTTCTCCAAGGATCACAGATGTTATAAGTTAGCAGCTGCCTGCTTTATCTGAACTGCAATAATTCAGATGAAAACAATGTAGAACAGAAGTCCAAACATTGCCAGACAGAAATTATTAATTCTGAACTCACCTTACTATCTGTAAGATCATAAATTTTCTGGCTAATGTAGGTAACTTCTGGCTTGGTTTCATTGTAAAAAGCTCTTCTGGAAATATTTTTATTAGGTTTTGAAAGTCTCAGGATGCTTCCTTCGAGTCTCACAAAAATAGAGTGAGTCAACGTAGCGTGATAGGTTTCTGGATCATAACTGTAGATTTCATTCATCCAGCCCTACAGAAATTAAAGAAATAAAAAGATTTTCCATTTTAAGACAAAATTAATAAGAGGTTGATTGCTGACATCTTGAATCATTTTAGTCAGTCGAGTTGCGTTTGAGTTAAGATTGTAACTTTCACATTTTCTACATAATAAAAGATTTAGAGGACATTTGATTAGTGAAGGCTGACCTAAATGAATTCCCAACAAAAATGAAGTGAATTTTACCTTTGGAAAAATATATTGCACATATAATGCGTGTGTCACAACAAGAGTAGGTGGTACCTGTATTTCACAGCAGATTGAATGCACTTCTCAATAGCTGTACTGAGAAGGAAGATACCTCAAGTACAAAGGATACCTGGCACTCCAAATTCTCAAGAACTGTATTTCTTACTCATATTGTTTTCACCTCCCCTGTATATGTACATCATATCCTTGTCCTTAACATGCTATCCAAACACCTCTGACATGTAATTCTAATATATCCATTTTCACTCATGTTAGAGATAAGCAGTGCTACAGAAGTCTGATGCTACAATGCAGCCTCCTAATCTTCTGAATGACTGCTGTACATGAGGTCATCCACTAATCCCATGATACCATTCAAAGAGCTGCAGCTGAACTCTTTGGCTTTGGAATATGCTAGTTAAGAGCAAGAATAAGAATGGGGTTCTTACAAAGGCAAACTACTCTTACTTTAAGATGATATTGCCCATATAGGATGATATAACCCATATTGCTGACTTTTTGCTGAGCAAACTTTTATACTTTTATAATTTGTACCTCTTTTTTTCCTACATCATTCCCCCCTTAGACGCACCTATTAGCTTCTTTATTTCTTGGCAAACTTTTCTTGAAAGATGAGTGGTAGAAATTACTATGTTTTAAAGAAATCACTTAACCATGGCTGGAACACAAGAGAAGGACCTCTCTTCCTTGGTTCAGTCAAGAGGAAGCTCAGCTAGAGATTTAAAGGCATTCACAACAACAGTGAATCACACCTGGAGACACATTCCTATAATTATATGATGAGGAAAGTGCCAATATGCAGTAGGGCGGTCATCCTTTTTTTTTGGTCTGTGTTAACAACCTTCCAAATGGCTATTTCCTTTATATGTTTAGGAGATATTCTACAGATAAGACTATATTGCACAATTAAAGAGGAATTGTAGCATTTTCCCACCTGCCTCCAGGTGTGTTTGAGAAGTTACCAAGGATGACCATTTGAGAGCACTTATTATCCTTATTAGATCTGTCACTAACTCCCCTAGGCAATTGACTAATAACAGATTGAACAATAGAAGTCAGGTCTGCTCACACCCAGGTTCCATTGCTTCCTGGATAAAGTATCTTTCAAGGCCATAAACCGTTAGGAGATCCTTTCAAGGAGCAAGGAATCCGTTATTTTTTTCCCCTTCTAGTGCCTCACCTAGAGTTTGAACTGAAAACTTCCCCTGTAACAGTTGCATTTATCAGTACCACTTTGAATTTCAGAAGCAGTAGGTGCTCTTTATCAATGGCAATATGGCAGACAATTTATTTACACACATATGGATCAGGGCTGCTACAGCTCTTTTCAATTATCAAGAGCTAAATAGCTTTAATAGTTCTACTGGACACAGTTAATTTAGTTTTAGTGGGTTAAGGATGAAGGAACAGCTGCAGTAGTAAATAATCAGTGATGTTGAGCAACTTTTACCTTAATGTAACCTGAATATGTTAAAAGGGGGGGGGGATAAGTAACAGGATTAGGGGAGCCAATCTAAAGTTGTGTTTTAATTTACTATACTCTTTTAAACTAGTGTTTACCATATACAGATAGTCCTCGACTTACAACCACAATTGAACCTAAAATTTATGTTGCTAAGTGAGAAATGTGTTGGGATTCATCCCATTTTACGCCTTTCCTTGCCACATTTGTTAAAATGAATCACTGCAAATGTTAAGTTAGTAACATGGTTGTTAACAGAAGCTGACTTCCTGCCTTGACTTTACAAATTAGAAGGGTCGCAAAAGGAGATCACATGACCCCGGGACATGGCAACAGTAGTCAGTTGCCAAGTGTCTGAATTTTGATCACATGACCACAGGGATTCTTCAACAGTCTAAGTGTGAAAGTTATAATTTTGAATGGTCACTAAATGAATTGTTGTAAATCAAGGACTACGTATATATTAGGTTACAGTTCCCCAAATCTCCAACCCACAGCAGTGTGTATTGCCTAGCAGTAATGTGAAAACTAGGCACTGCTCAAAACGCAAAGGTCAAAAAGTGGTCCAAAATACGTAAGACAGAGTTTTTTTAACTTTGGCAACTTTAAACCATTCCTTCAGGCTACATAATCCCAAGTAAAAGATCTATTCAGCTTAAAAGAATTGCAGAGAGTTACTACAGTACATTCATATTCTGCATATTCTGAACCCCTTTTTTTGGCTAAGGTATGCATTAGTGCCACCCCAGTAAATATACCATCCAAAGGAATAGATTATTCTCCAAGGATACATGAATATATGAATCATACCAAATGACACATGTAATCCTAATAAACCTGCTCCAGGAAACAACCAATCTAGAAATATTATGCAAATCTAATCAAGAAAAGTTTAACAGCATTTTGAACTCTTGTCAATAGTAATTTGAAGGTTTGGCCTTCACACAAGATTTGATATAAAAAAAACACAATAATGTCCACTGTCATAAAAAAATATTGTGCTTTTTTTCTTCAATAAAGGTCATTCTACTGTTTTATTTGTGCTTTCCCCCTTCTCTGTTCTCACCCCTATTCTCTCTCTTTTCACCAGTAACCATACAACAACCATCTCTGCAGCTATGAAGCCAAAATATTTCCCTAGAATTCTTCATGTTATATTTGGTAAACATTTTTTTCTTTCAATCCTTACTAAAATATTTAGAATGGGCGTTGGTAGAAGTTACCATGAACGCCCTTTCTATCTATGCTGCGAGAGAGCTCAGGATGGGTTGACTCCTTCCTATGACTTCATAGCTGAGTCTGTACTAAGATATAAAAGCCAGCCCCCGGGAGAGACCCCAGCTTTGGCGAAGATACTTGACAGACTGAAAGGAGTCTCTGAAAGCCCAAAATAAATACAGAAATATGTCTTACCCTCTCCGGACGAATCAAGGGAGGGGCTGGGCTCTCTCGCAGCATAGATAGAAAGGGCATTCAGGGTAACTTCTACCAACGCCCATTCTCCTCCATGCTACATTGAGAGCCCAGGATGGGAGATACCAAAGCTTGCATGTCCACGGGTGGGTCCTCGTCTGGCTTATCACACCGACTGTGGAGGCAAAAGCAGGACGATGCCAATACAGGAAACCATCTTCCCCAGAAGTTTGGACAGCAGTGACAGGGGGACAATTTGATGTTGCTGGATCTGGCTGATGATCTCTGCAGGGCTCTTTCCACGAGCTGGGGACAGGAAAACGTGGCACGACAGGGTATCGATGACTGCTCCCAAGTGTTGCAATTTGGTTGTAGGAGAGAGCTGGCACTTTTTGGTGTTGATGGAAAATCTGTGGCTCTGGAGACATGACAGGGTAATTTGCAGATCCCAATGGGCCACAAGGATGGAAGAGGAAAGAATCAAAATGTCGTCCAAGTAGCATTGGATCCTCACTGGAATAGAATGCAGAGATGCCACCAATGCTGCCAGAACCTTTGTGAAGACCCTTGGAGCCGATGAGAGGCCGAAGGGAAGTGCTCGATACTGGTAATGGGTATTCTGATAACAGAAACGGGGAAACTGGTGATGATGAGGCCAAATTGGGAGGTGGAGGTAAGCCTCAGTGAGATCAGTGGAAGAGAGGAGGTCGCCCTCCCGAACGCTCTCTAAAATAGAATGCAGAGTCTGCATTTTAAATCACCTGTATTTTACAAATTGGTTGAGAAATTTTAGATCAAGGATGGCTCACCACTCCCCTGAGGCTTTGGGAACGATGAAAAGGCGAGAGTAAAGTCCACGTCCCCATTGAGACAGGGGAACAGGATAAATAGCCCTGATTTCAAGTAGGTGCTGAATGGCCTGATTCATGAGGGCTTGCCTGGAAATGTCCCGAGACACAGGACAAATAAAAAAAAATTGGGGTGGGGTGGAGTTAGGAAGTCCAATTGTAACCCTGACCTAATAGTGCTGAGTACCCAGGCGTCCATCGTTGACTCCTCCCATTTGGAGGCAAAGAAGGCTAGGTGACCTCCGATGGGTGGGAAGAACGAGGGATTACTTAGAACGACGGAAGGAATGACCCTCTCCCCCCCGAAAGGGCCGTTTACCAGTAGAAGGTTGTTGCCTGCCAGATGTTTCCGCCCGTTGGTCTTGGTGTTGGGAGTATGGCCTGTGAGAGCAGTGGAAGCGAGATGAGGTCTCCGCTCAGAAGGCAGGAGGGTGATAAGGAGCAGGGCGATAGTCAGCTTTCTTCCCAGAGGAAGAGAGAATTTTACGTTTATTTCTGGTTTCGATGAGATAAGGTTCCAGAGCATCGCCAAAAAGCTTATCGCCTGCGAATGGAACTGAAGCCAGCTTCCATTTTCGGCATGACTCCGCCTGCCAATTTTGGAGCCATAAAGTCTTCTTGCTGCTACAGAAGATGCCATGGCCTTGGATGCAAATTTGGCAGAATTGAGAGTGGCATCCGCAGTGAATTCTGCCACTGCAATAATCTTATTAAGGTCTCGGTGAGACCAAAGGTCAGAAGCAGGCAATCTATTCTGGAGTTGGCGCAGCCACCGTATGGATGCCCTGGTGAAAAAGGATGCTGCTGTTGAAGCCTGAACAGCCCAAGCAGCAACCTGGTGATTGCGCTTGAGGGTCTGTTCGGAACGTTTATCATCCGGTTTCAGGATATCTTATGGCTCCATGGGAGTGCCAGAAGATGAGAACGAGGCCAGAACCGGAATGTCAACAGAAGGCACTGCCAGGGCATTGTCCAGAGCTGCGCTGACATTGTAGAAACACTTATCTAGAGAAGATGGGCAAGGACCTGCCAAAGGAGAA